GGAAGAAAAACGAACGGGGATGTACCGTTAAGCTGTTCAGGATGAACAACCTTTAGAAGGGAGCAGCACAACGCGCGGTAGACACCCCCCTCCAGCGGTGACGTAACAGCATCGGAGCAACTGCCACTGCTACGGTAACAGGCCAGTCAACACTCCGTCCCCTCCCCCGCGGTGACATAACAGCACTTCCCACAGTGACGTAATAGGGGACACCGCGGTTACTACGCAGCAATAAACAACTCAGCAGCATTCCCCAGCAATGCCTGTAAACGCAACATTACGCAGCAGTGGTAGCTATCACGTAACTGTTTTCTGTGTTGTCAGTGCGGAAGCTACATAACAGTATTTGTCAGAGAGAGGGAGTAACCCATCAGTTGGAGTCTAGCATTCGCTGGAGTGAGTTTAGGTCCATTGTTATTGAGTTGTATCGAGTGAATGGCAGTGATTCCAGCAGAAGTAATTGAGATACTGCTGATGGCAGTAATTGTGTAATTATGAAGTGTATAAGTGTAAGAGCAAATGTGGAATAAATTCGCTATATTCAAGATGGTGTGAAGTTATCTGTCACGTTATACACCTAACACGTGAAAATATTATTAATTTGCTATCTATGTTAATTGCTGAATAGAAGTTTTGCTATGCTTACTACTGTCCCTCTAAAGAAAACTTGTACAGTGTATAGAAAGGATGATCTAGTTGCCTTTGGAATTAAGAGAATCAGGTGGTTGTACAGCCTTTAAACATAAGTTAAAAGTTGATGTGCTATAATTCAGCACATTAAAATCATCTTTCCTTCTAGTATTATATTCATATAAATCTACATTTCTCATAGAGTATAAATTATATTTCTGAAAATAGCACAACACCTCAAAGATATACAAGGAGGTAACAGTTAAAATCTTTAATTCTTTAAAATACAAGGTGCGGCAATAAAGAAACCGGATTACTTTTATGACTCATTTCCGGCCACGTTGATGATGAAGAGGAGGGTAGGGCATTGACCCTTGGACTTCCCTCTACCGTCACACAAAGTTTCATTCACGCGCATCGCGTAGTCTGGCCGCGACCATTGTTAGAAGCAGATCGTGTGTCTGAGCTCCGTCGGAATAATGCTGAGTGCTAATGTAGAACAATGTGTTAACATCAAATTCCTCACAAAACTTGGAAAATCTGCCACTGAAACTTACAGTTTGTTGACAGAAGTATATGGTGATCAGTGTCTCTCTCACACGCAAGTTTTCGAGTGGTTTAAGAAGTTTATGGAGGGTAGGAAAAACGTCGGGAACGATCCAAAATCGGGCCGTCCTTGCACTGCGAAAACTCCAGAGAATGTGGAGAAGGTCGCTAGAATTGTTCGTCGAATGAGCATTCGAGCAATTTCTGAACTTACCAACATCAATAAGGAAAGTGTTAAGACAGATTTTGCACGACGATCTGGGCATGAAAAAGGTGTGTGCTAAAGTGGTGCCAAAAATCCTTACCCCCCAGCAAAAGGAACATCGAGTGAATTGCTGTGTTGACACTCTTGAAAACATTGAAAATGATCCTAATTTCTTCCAAAACGTAATTATGTGTGACGATACTTGGATTCTTCAATATGATCCAGAGATTAAGCGACAATCCATGCATTGGAAGAGCCTCAAATCCCCTAGAAAGAAGAAAACGCGCATAAGCAAGTCCAAATTCAAAGCAATGATGATTTTTTTTCGATATCCGGGGGGTAATCTACATTGATTGGGTGCCTGAAGGTCAGACTGTCAATCAGGTTTATTATAAAAATATTCTGACGACCCTCCGTAAACATGCGCGACGAAGGAGACCAGACATGTGGAAGAATGCCTCATGGGTTCTTCATCACGACAACGCGCTATCTGTGAAGAGGTATTTGGCAAAAAACAACATTCCAGTGACGGAACATCCACCGTATTCTCCAGACCTAGCATCGTGCGACTTTTTCCTCTTCCCGAAAATCAAGTCTGCACTCAAAGGGACCAGGTTCAAGTCCGCGGATGCAGTGAAAGCAAAAGCGACGCAACTCTTGAAGAGTTGCCCTGCAGCACTGCTTCCAACAGTGGAAAATTCGCATGGAGCGGTGTAGGGATCGGGGAGGGGACTACATTGAAGGGGATAACATTTCGATTGTCTGATTTTTTTTTTCAATAAAGGGTTAGAGCATAAATCCGGTTTCTTTATTGCCGCATCTGCATGATTTTCTGGTATTTACACCTTTCATTAAACAAAATTTCCTTTTTTGTATTTTCAGTACTCGACTATTTTTGTTTTCTCCACACCAAAAAATCAAACCATAACTTAGTAAGGATTGAAATTTGGCAAAGTAAATATTCCTGAATATATAGACACTCACTTCATCTTTCAAGAATTTAATAATGTAACATGACTTATTCAATTTTAGACACAAGGACTGAATATGTGAGCTCCATTTTAGATTATGTGTCATATTAATTTTTATATTTCTGAAAGTAATAACTGGCTCAGCCATGTCATACAGTTTACTTAACTGGAATAGCATTGCTCTGGTCTTATCACTATTTATAAGCAGGTTATTTTTTGAAAACCAAGATTCTAGCTGGATCATCACTCTTTTTATTTTTTCATATCTATTACCAGTATATGGGTATCATCTGCAAAAATCTCCATTTGATATGTGATGGGGTAGATCATTTATACAGGAGTGGGCCCAAAAGAGACCCTTGAGGTATTCCAAGTTTTGTATTCCTCAGTGTAGAATTATACCCATTCATAGAATATTTATTGTCATTAGAGGTTATTTTTACATACTGAGAACGCAGTGTGAGATCGGATTTTAACCAAACTTTAATTTTCCCTCTTTTTCCATAATGATCTAATTTTCCAAGAAGTATATCATGATCAATAACATCATTCGTTTTTGTGAGATCAAAGTAATATACCAACTGCAAATGGCCACCTGCCCAGTGCTTCCTGTACATTCCCAATAAAGGACTGACACACAGATATTGTCGATTTATTTTTCTGAAACCCATATTGATTATCCGTTAAAATCTAAAATGTAATAATAAAAGATACCAATCTGTTATATACTATTTTTTAAAAAAATATTTGAGAATATAAATATAACAGATATAGGTCTGTAATTACTAATTTCATGTCTATTACCCTTTTTATAAACAGGCTTAATTTTCACAATTTTCAATAAATCTGGAAATACACCCTGATTTATGGCTTCAGTAAATATGAAATTGTGTTTTTTATATGACTTTACTAGAAAATCAGGGATTTCATCAAATCCTGCAAAGGTTTGCCATTAAATTTGGTTACTACTAAAACTATTCTCCTTCAGAAATCAGAAAAAAATACAGAGTTTGAGTTGCAGTCCACTACTTTTGTAATGATTTACCACTACCTCCTCTCGTCTTTTTCTCCACCAGTTCTGCTGCCTTATAAATAAAATAAAAATTTAATGTACTGCCACCCTCCGAGGGTGAGTTATTTTCTTTAAATTATTTTTCATCGAAATATCCTGGAGGCAACCCCACAGGGTGCAAACAAAGCAGCTAAATCTCCCTTGGGTGTGGCTAGTATGGTTCCCACTGGACTGTAATGGAGCCACAGTGAGCACTGTCCATATTACACTCACCAGTCCATCAACATGGGAGTGCCTCCCTCACCCACATGAATCTCACATGCCACACAGCTCATCTCAAGAAACATAACTTCAGTGTGGTACTCCTTGTAGACTGTATATGGAGGCAGGGCAGGAATTCTCTTCCAAAGACTGCGATCCTGTTGCCAAATGCTGGTTCCTAACCTGTAAGGCATACCTCCCAGTGAAGGGGAAAGGCACAAGGAACCCCTGACCTACATCAATTTTGCCTAAATATCTATATCATTCTATTCACACAGCGATGCCTAGTGAATATCCTACTCAGTAACGAGAAGCTGAGACCCCAGCTCATGCATTCATAGGAGCAAACATTTACACACCAATGCCATGAAGCTTGTCATTATATTCAAATAGAAACGTAATTTAGGGATCTCTATTTACTGCTGACTCGTCATTCTGTTCCCCTGCTTTACGCTGCCTTTTTCCTTATTCTACACACATCTGTTTAGCAGCAAAGTGAACATTCCAAATTCTGTACATCTCAAGTTTTTAGTTATGAACAATGCAAACTGTTCAGTTTAGCAACGAGCTCACTTCAGTAAACAGTTCCTAGTCATGGTTCTGGGGGAGGGTACGGGGTTAGGAACATCAGGACAGCAGGAGAGCGGTGCAAGATGAACAAGAACTGCTGCTGTAGATGTTGTGCATCTCTGGGACCTCCAGGGTGCCCCATGCCACGTTTGAATGACATCACCCATCACTTGGTACAACAGTTCCCTCACTCACCTCTCCAGAACTGTTAACAAACAGTACCAGTTCATCACAACAAGCACCAAGGCTTTCCAGTGCCTTGAAATCAACATACTGTGATGACATGACATTATGAAGCAAGACACCAATGCACACAAAAGCATCACACGTTGCGCTTACTAAACGTAACTCATCAAGTGATATGCAAATTCAAAGTGGCCCTCTGATTGGCAGTTTCCAAACCACATCCCCCCTCACACTGTGGTCTTCTGGATGTGTACCAACATTTCACAGTAACATACTGCCTCCATCTTCAGGGTTGGAACCCACCTACCAGGCTACACAGTGTCTTAACCCAGATGACAATATAAATTCAAAAGCCACTGGTTCGGACACAACACACAACACACACCTTTCCTTCGTGGGCTCCTCAGAGCGGGAGAATTTCGTGTCTCTCCTTCTTCCTCAGGGGAGGGAGCCCAAACCCCTACTTGCATTCTCCTGCAGCTCAAACACATATTTCTTCAATGGTGCATCTCCAGGTTTGCCAACAAATAAGACATTGTACAAAGCCTTCCACAGTCACACTATACTTCATAAAATATGTGTTTGCAGCAAAAAGGCTGCATTATGACATGATGCTCACCTCTGTCATATTGTGCCTCGTGTTTGGGTCACAGTAAGTGTGCGAAGGGGAAGAGATCTCAGATGCTTCTTCCTTGGTAAGAAGCCATACTCCTTGCAGATGACATGCCAACAGCAGGCAAAGAATTCCTGGATTCTCCATGCTTGGTTCACACTGACTTATGTTCTCCACCATACAGAATACAACTTCTTCAGTGGTGTCATCCCATTTCAGAAAGATAACATCAACAAATGTGTAAACATTACTTACTTCTCAATTACAGTCCATCTACTTGTGTTTGCACTATACAGCTCATGCAAGAAAAACCAATTCATGAAGTCCATTATCCAATGAAAATGCAAATCCTGGATTTTTCATTTTTTTTTTTTCCATTTCCACTAATTTACATGCCACAAATCCATTACAAGGTCACAGGACCCAGGATAAAGACAACAGTCGAATATATTCCAATTGGCGAACAACTTACTCCAAACTGAGCATCCACACAGGAACTCCATTCAATCAGTATGCAGGGGGGGAGGGGCGGACTTCACTCCAGCTGCAACTGGGTGGGTACACACTTTTTTCCCTGGGATGCCATCAAACTCCTTTCAACAAATAACAACATCTATAAGTGTACTTTCAATTATTTCACTTACATTAAACTGCCTTATGTGTGTGGGCAGATCAACGTAATGCAAACCACTTATATATCCTTGGAAGGGGGACTAGCATCATTCCTTCTGTTTTCCACGGATGGTAAGGTAGCCACTACAGTCTGACGCTTCATCTAAAGACTCCACTGCACAGCATTCGTCTGATGCGTTGCATAAAGTAACCAAAAAGAAAGTACGTGCTACCTCTGTGAAACTTGGAACTCTGGGTGGAGCACAATCCAAGCCAATAATCTGAACATCGCATCTTAAAAATAAATACCCCAAATAAAGCCTCTTCCTTACCTGTGGCATATTGCTACATGCTTTGAATCTTGCTGATGCCATTGTAGGCAGCACGGAACTTCAGTTTTCCCAGTCTGTTGCAGTTTCAAAAATTTTGTCTTTTTTTTTAGCCCCCAAAAGCTCATCCATCTTTGGCTATAATGGTAACGAATCAAATCGCATTATTTTAGTCAGATGATCCAACGATGATTTCACCAAGCACCAAGGGAAATTAAAGGTCATGCAGAGACAATGTTCTGTGACTTGGACATCTTCAGATTCGACCATCTGTTCATTATCATTCAGCAAGCTTTGGATGCAATAGCGACTTGTAATACTAATACTGTAGCGAGTTTCTCACAAATTACATTAGTTAACTGCTGAATATGCGGTTAGTGATTAGACGTGCAACTCAGGCATCGCAGTCAAAGTGGGTGCAACTCCAATTTTCATTGCTAAAAAAAAAAGTGGAGGTAGACCTTTTTGGAATTTCTAATTAAGCCCGGTAGATGGCAGTGTAGCATAGATTTGTGTGACGTCTTAAGTTACGTTGCCCCAGCAACATTGAGTTACGTATCTGTACGTAATAATCCGTGGTTGATAAGATGGTGGAGCTTGAGGTTTGTGATTAACAAATTTCTTTGTTACCTTAAAACTAACACTTCAGTCGACATATTTGGAAGAATTTCAAAATGGGGTAAGTTTATAATGCTAATATGTGTTGCTGATTGCTTTTAAGTATATTGTAAGTAAATGTATCCTGGTTATAATTGTGTTTGTTACAGTTACGCTTCTGGGCACTTTCCTCAAATTACACAGCATTAGAAGAAAGCAGAGCTCTAAAAGGGCACAATTAAAAGTAAATATAAATCATTCAACACATAGAAGAGGGTTTATTAACAAGACCTTAAGTTCCAACCAATTAGGTTTTCGGGGACTGTAGTACTGAATTAACATGTTTTACGATATCAAACTTGGCCAGTGTATTTCATCTTATGCTAAGATACCCAACCATAGTTTCAAAGAACGAATTATTACTGTGCATTTGAAGTAGCAGACGCTTATTGAATACGTATAGTACGAATTTCTAAACGTACGTACACACACACACACACACACACATACATACACATGAAGTCTGTGTGGTTCTTTGCATGTACTATTATGAAACAAAGGTGACAACACTTTTTATGGATCGCTAATGTTACATTGCCATAATAAAGACAAGGATGTGAATGTGTATTATAGTGGAATATACATTTCTCATTATTAAGGATGTAAAGCGAAAGTTGTCCCTACGCTTAACTAATTAAGCACTATGCCTTGAAGGCATAATAGAGAATGGATGTGTATATCCATGATTTCTTGACCTCGGCACTTAGAGGTGAGTGGTCAGCTTCACGCCCCGGCCGCTTTACCCTCGGGGAAAGAGCCCCCCCATACCCATTGGATTGGAGGGTAGGTGGGCCCCAGAACTGGTCCGGATGACGTGAAGAGGAGAAAATTCTTTACCCGATTTGGACTCTAACTTTGACCTCTCCGTTGTCCAGTCCATAGCCAGTTGATATATTAACTGCCCTTGCCTGGTTATTAGGAAGGATGTAGCTACTTAATACATGAGCTATTCAGAAAGTAACCTCTGGTGAGCTGTTAACAAAACAAATGGAAAAGAAAATTATGAACAAAAAATACATATGTACTTAAACTACTTCTGAATGTAGGCACCAGCAGAATTGAGACATTTATTGTATCGGGGAATAAGTTGTTGTTTGCCTGTGTTGAAGAAGTCTGCCGCCTGTGAACTCAGTCACGTTTTGACATCTTCCATCAACTCATTATTACTGTTGAAGCACCATGATTGCAACGAGTTCTACACGTAGATAAACAGGCGGTAATCGCTCAAAACGAGCTCAGGGCTGGAAGGAGGGTGATCAAACAACCCCTAGTTATGCTCCAACAGTGCCTGAGTGCAGTGGTAAGCTGTATACATACACACGTGTATTGTCATGAAGGAGCGCTATACTGGATGTCATGATTTCATGCCTTGTGTTCTTATTGGCCCTTTGCAGTTTTTTAACGTTTCGCAGTACACTTCTGACATTACTGTGGTCCCTCGTTGCATGAGTTGTACCATCAGCTTGACTTTCCTGTCCTATTCCAGAAAACAGTTGCCATCAGCTTTATGGCAGATGGTGTTTGTTTAAACTGTTTTGGCTTGTTTGTTCAGTGTGTGTGCATCCACAGCTTTGATTTCTTTTCAGTTTCAACATTTACAAATGAAACACAGGTGTCAGTACCTGTTACTCATACAATGTGATTGAGAAATTCAATGCTATCTTTGTGGTATTGCTCTAAAAAATGTCAAAACCAAAGCTATTCTCTGCATTTTGTGCACAGCCATGAGCATTTTTGGAACCCATCTTGCCCAAAACTTGTGATAGCCTAGCCTAACTGTGATCATCTTGTAGAGAAGTATACGTGAAATTTGTGGATATTCATGTGAAAGTTCTGAAATTCTGAAGTGCTGTCTTTCACTCTAAACAAAATCACTCACTATAGATGGCCGAACACTTCGCTCTTCATGGTGAACATTTGGTCGTTCATTATTGAACATTGTACACTATTGTCTTAGAGTTCCTTCACTCATTACATTTTGGCTGTAAATTGTGCATAATTCATGATGGATTTCCACAGCAGTCATGTTTTCAGCATGAAGAAAGTGGATAATAGCATAAATTTCGCAGCTGGCAGATTATCAATTGCAGGACACATTATAACTCACTCTGTAGAGACAAGAACAAACACTATGTGACCGGTTATTTGGTGGTTTACAAGGCAGTGAGTCATGTGTTTCTGCTACATTGCAAATGTGAGCTCTCCCAAGCTCTTACGTCAGTTGCCTGAAATAAATGGAAATTACTTTCTGAATAGCCCTCGTATAAGTGTTAACCTATAATTTTTTTATATAATATCTTTAGATACAAAAACGTGGATCTGTTACAGCAGTTTCACTAATAGCTTGTATTAATTTTCTTGGTATGTAGAGGTTTAATGCTTTTTTCTATCCCTCCATGTGATTTTTTCTTTTTGAAAAAGGGTTAATCTTAGAGCCATCCAATCCGGTCTGCTGCATATGCATTTGTGCAGATGTATCATTCTGAGGTAGGTACTGTAATTTCATCATAGCTGCCTTGAATTGCTGGCACAAAAATTGGTTCCACACTTTTGAGCACATGTGATAATAATTAGTTCTTTTGTCATAAGTAGGCCCCGGATTTTTTGAAAATGCATATGCAAATGCATATTTTGAGGGTTTTTGGTTATTATTGCATATTCTAAACGTAAGAGCATATTTCTGCATATATGTTTGAAATTAAGGATAATTTCAATATTCTCTAACAAAATCGGTTTTGCCTGTGTTTTGGACATCCCTTGCCAGTTGCTATTCTCAACTCTGAGTAAGAGCACTTTTATCACTTACAATACAAGCAGGTAGCTTCGCTATTTCGAAACGGAGGTGGTGAGATTTTCCTGCATTCCATTGACCATGACAGCAGACAGTAGCATCAGAGTGTTGGTCTTGAGAAAAGCCTTTTCAGTCAATACGTTACACTTTTCTTTAATAGTCTGCATCAAAAAAGTGTTTGTGTACTGAAAATGCCTAAAGAAATGTGCAGCAGTAGATATTTAAAAAATCGATCGGTTTCGGGTTTTAGTGACTATTCAGCAGACGGTGTCCTCGGGTACTGTCAAGTTTGCGCAAAGGAAGTAAAATGTGAAAAGAAATTTCAACTTGAACAACACTCAAGAACGACTGCACATATTACGGGAAAGAAGGGGAAGAAGAACGGCACACTACAACAGCTACTTTTTACACAGGTCAAACCCAAGTCCTCTGTTAATACATTTTCAGCCGATCTTTGTAAGGCTTTAGTATGCAGCAACATTTCATGGAATAAATTAAGCAATCCAGTTCTATGATCATTTCTGGATACTTAAAAAAATCCCAGACGAATCAACTCTTAGAAAAAAATATCTACCTTTGCTGTATGAATCTACTCTGGAGTCAGTCCGTTCTGACATCGGAGGGAACTGTGTCTGGATATCGATGGATGAGACAACAGATTTATGTGGCCGATACATAGCAAATTTTGTGGTTGGTAAGCTACATCCAGACGAACCCGGCAAACCTCGTCTTCCTGCTTGCAAAGTACTAGAGAAAACCAACCATAGCACAATAGCAAGATTTGTAAATGATTCTCTGCAACTACTATGGACATCTGAAATTGAGAATAATTGTTGTAAGGTGCTTGTGTTACAGATGGAGCTTTCTATATGTTGAAAGCAGCAAAGGCCTTACAAGTATTTTATCCACATCTTATACACGTAACCTGTTTAGCTCACGGATTACACGGTATTGCAGAAAAAATATCCGCACAGTTTCTAGCTGTTAACGATTTAATTGCAAGTGGAAAAAACTGTCTCTGAAAGCACCAGCTATAGTGTCCAGTTCTACAAAGATTGCTTACCTCAGGTTCCTGTGCCACCTGAAGCTGTCCTAACTAGGTGGGGGACATGGATATCTGCAGTTTCATTTTATCAGGAGAATTTCAATCAAGTAAAAGAAGTGGTTAAAAAAGTTGAAGATGAGCATGCATGTGTCCGTGAAGCAAAAGTGGTGTTTGGATGTGATATTGTTTATCAAGATGTGAATTTTATCCATGCACATTTTTCTACAGTTTCAAAAGCCATTGAGAGTTTAGAATCTTGTGGTGCACTCCTTCTCGACTCACTTGAACTTGTTCACTGAATTCCACTCCAGGCGAAATTGGAGAGAAGATTAAATGGAAGTTATAAATGGTGTTGAATTCGAACGCAGGGCTAAAAAAGATTCAGTCAATTAGTCAGTACTTGAGTGTAATTAGGGTATCTTTGCCAGATGAATGTTCCGAACCTTTGGTGCCATGTATAAATACTGTCCAATCACGTCATTTGATGTAGAAAGATCATTCTCAGCCTATAAACTCATTTTGACGGACAATAGACGTAGTTTATCTCCAGAAAACATTCAAAGACTTCTAGTTGCCTATTGTGATGCTACTTTCTGCAGTGAGTGATACATGTAAATAGGTGAGTGTGAATAAAGTGACCTGTTTCTTAAGTGCATATAGTTTTATTTTTGGTGCATATTTTCTCTCTTTTTAGCGCATATTTTAAGTGTTTTTAGTGCATATTTTAAGTGTTTTTAGCGCATAAAAATCCGAGCCCTAGTCATAAGTTATGTCTCCTGTCATGCAGGAGAAAATATGATTGATGCCTAACACCAAACAGGTTCGCCTGGAGCTGAGAATCTTGACTTGTATTTGAGAGGTGCTTGATTGGATCAGATTGAATCAGACCAGTTTGTAAACTATCCTGACAGGCTTTCTATGGTTTTCCTGAGACCCTTCCAGGAGGTTGAGGCTAGTACTTCATTTAAGTCATGACCACTTCCCCCCAGATCCATTCATATTCATCAGTCATCCTAACATCTAACACTATTTGTCTCAGTACTGAAAACATTGGAGCACGTGGTAGCGTAGTTGGTTGAGGCACTTTGTTACAAGCCGGAAGGTCACGGTTCAATTTCCATTTCCATTTATTTTCACTTCATGGATCCAATCATCTCCCCATAGGGCTGGACATAAAACATGTCACACATTACAAATTCATGATTACTACACATCATACGTCCTTGTTCCAATAAAATATATAAGCAGGCCTCACACAGACAGCACAAGTTGTCAAGACAACAAACCTAGTTCGTGGAAAAACCGCTGTCAGATTCACACCTTGCCATTCCACACACACTAGCCAGCCATATCATCAATACAGTTTCATTATAACATTAAAATTCATAACAAACACAGATGTCATACATACTGTCACACAGCAAGCAAGTCTCAACACTGTATAATACAAGCACACAGACCATTTATTAACTCTTTAACTTTTGAGCCCCTTGCATGGTCAACAAATTTGTCAGTAGAGTAAAATGAGTTACTTTGCAAATAATTTCGTAAAACAAACCTAAATTGGTTTTTATCATTTTTTAAAACAGATATTTGACAGCAGAGTGTTAAATAGCTTGACACCTGAATAATACACTCCCCTCTGATAGGATGATAAATGTGTTGTAGGTATATGAAGGTGGTCATACCTTCTTGTACCAATCATATATACAGAGTTATTAGTCTGAGACTTATCCAGATTATTAGCAACATATGTCATCAATGAGATGAGGTCATTGGATTTTTCAGTTGGCCTGATCCTCCCAGGTGCACTATGTACCTGCAGGCGACTCAGTCTGTAACAGAAATGAGTACCAGGAATCTTCCTGGGGGAGGTAATGGGCTGCTGGCGCATAAGGCTGACAACCTCACTGCTATCTGTGAGCTGATTGTGTAGAAAATGTGGGAGGGTTGAAGTTTAGCAACCCTATGTGCCTCCACGGTCTGTTACAGGGACAGCTTTACCTTTCTTACCTTTACCAAAAAAAGCATTATTAAATAACCCACAATGAGAGAAGTGTGTAATGTGTAGTAATGTGGGCATATTTTGGGACTGCCTCCACATGTCTTCAAATTGCCTATTTTGAAAAAAAATAAATGTTTACATTAAGGAAGAACTGCCAGTGATACAAGCCCTTATAATATCTGATCTTATAGCCTGTTTCTTGTTTTGTGTCTTTCTCATGGTTTCTGTAATAAACCCAACTTTTCTAAGCAAGAATAATTAACTCATCCAGAAAGAGATGAAATAGAATTTGGGAGTGGATGTGTTATGCATCAGGAGTGCCAGAATTACTCAAAATTTATAAATTATACATGGAGGAAGGTGTACAAATTACCAATCTGCAATAGATCTTAAGTTTATAATACGAGGGGAAGTCAATTATCCGCAATGCAGTTTTATTTGTGTTTCTGTTGGCAGCATTGTCATTTTGCGCAGCATTGCCATGAGTGGTTTCCTTGTCATTATTTCTGCGCAGGTTTGATGTTGCTAGGTCAGTTCCATCGTCGCTGCCTTGCCGTTAATCATGGCTGCTCCGCTTTCTGTTTGCACCAAAGAAGAGCAACGTTCAGTGATCCGGTTTTTGTAGTCGGAAGTTGTATCAGGGGCCGCAATCCATCAAGACTTTCAGAACAATACGGGAACAGTGTTTTGCCGCAGTGGAGTGTCTACGAATGGATTGAAAAATTCAAAAATGGTCGCACAAGTGTTACGCATGAGGAAGGAGCCGGATGACCATCCATGGCCACAAATGAGGACAACATTGAGCGTGCACGTGACAGCGTTCTGCCTACAAAATTATCCACAACAGACTTGGGTTTCATAAAGTCTGTGCAAGATGGGTCCCAAAATAACTCACAGTGTTGCATAAACAAACGCGCTTGGACATCTGCCAACAACATTTGGATCACTATGGTAACAAACGTGACGTCTTCTTAGACAGAATCATCACTGGTGACGAAACATGGATCCATCATTGCAAGCCGGAGAGTAAATGGCAGAGTATGGAATGGAAACATCCACAATCGCCCAGCAAGAAAAAGTTCAAAAGCCAACCATCCGCAGGAAAACTGATGCGTACAGTTTTTTGGGACTCACAAGGCCCAGTACTGGAACATTATCAGGAGAGGGGCACAAAAATAAACAGTGCTTGTTACAGTGAGATGCTTAGTGACAGGCTAAAGCCTGCAATTCGAAACAAACGCTGAGGACTACTGTTGAAAGGTGTTGTGTTGTTGCACGACACTGCCCGTCCACATACTGCTGCCTACACTGCTGAAACCCTCCGGAAACTCAAGTTTGATGTAATGGCTCATCCTCCATATAGTCCTGATCTCAGCCCTTCTGACTACCACTTGTTTGGTCCACTCAGAGGCATTAAGGGGCCGTCGATTCACCTCGGACCAAGAAGTGAAGGAAGCGGTGCATGCGTGGCTCACTGCTCAGCTGAAAACCTTATTTTCTGAGGGCATCAGGAAGCTTGTGCAACGATGGACCAAGTGCGTTGAAAAGCAAGGGGACTATGTTGAAAAATGATGTTAATGTAAGTTTTCTATTTGTATTGAATTAAAATTTATAGCTACATTGCGGATAATTATTGACTTACCTACATATAATGTAACGCGTTACCTTACGTCCATCACCACAACAACAACTACAATCAGAATGGACTTCGACAACAACGAATATGTGGAAATAGTAGAGTTCCCGCAGCGACAAATCATAGCAAGGAATTATCGTTGAATAAGAACGGATGAGACGAAACACGTTACTGCTGTAATTTGTAGGGAGTGTTCACGAAGCAACAGATTTCCGAACACGTGAGATCGAACCTTGGTGAGGGGTGCCCTCTACTTAATTTGCAGAACACCTACATAAAGCGAGAGCTACAGACAGCAAAAACACAGTTGGAACCTAGTCGCCATACAAGACAGTTGAAAGATAGCTGCTGCAGAATACAGTTGAAGTGATAACAATTGTAAGGTGTGTAAGATTGAGTGTCCAATAAAGATTCGCTAAATCTGAGGCCCACATAAAGTTATTTGTCATGTGACACACCCAACACGTGACAATATGTTTCCCTTCCCATTTCTGATTGTAGATGAACCAAAAATTCATGTGCCCCTCCTGATTGTAGGCTCAGCACTTCATTAAATATCATTAAAGGGACAGGAAAAGTTGGAGGAATGTTAAATATAATGTGAAGGAGAAACAGAGTGTGTGTTTTCTGTCTGCGCCAGCGGGTTAGCTATCATAGAACGAAGCTTGGTCAGTGAAACAATTATATACAGCCTCAGCATTGAGAAAGTTGACCTAATATATTCAGTATGTTTAATTATTATATGCAGCTGCCCACTGCTGTTACAGACAATAAACTGATGGAGGGAAAGGCGTGAAATATAAATATTCTATGATCAGAATTACATGTTGATTCTACTACCTTGTGTTAATCTTGGAAAATAAAATACGAAAGAATTGCCTGGAATCTTTTCATTCATACAACCTTTATCACTGAAGCAGTTAATTGATAATATTACCGTTTGACCTTAAAATTTTTCCTTTTGTAGTTCTGCAGACTCTGATTCAGAAAATTGTACTGAGATGCTGAAAGACAAGAGAAAGGATGTGAATGAAGATATTTCTAAGAAGAAGAAGAAAAAGAAGCATAAACATCATCATCATCATCACCATCATCATAAACATAAAAAGCACTCTACAACAGACAAACATGAAAGGTTTGTTGTTCGGTTCAAGTTTTGAAGCTAGATAAGTTAACATGTGGGCTGTATGTATGTTATGTTTTATTGTATTTTGTAGGAAAGAGCACAAGAAAAGAAAACACAGAAAAGGGAATGAAAATGGAGATGTTTCCCGTGCGAATGACGGCAAGAAACTTGACAAACCAAAAGAAAATATATCAGTAAAAATTTCGGCTGGAAGCTCAAAAAGGCAAGTAACGGAGGAAGTTAAAGTAAAAAGCAATGAGAAGCACGTAAGCAACTCTAGGGATACCCACAGTTCCGTTGTTTTAAATGGAAGTGGGGCGGTCGTAGGAAGCGAGAATCATAAAGAGGTCCAGAAGTCGCTTACGAAAATTGAACCTGAACAGAAGAACCACGAACCAGCGGAAGCTACAAAGTTCCCTGTTGAAGAATCCTCTGAATCCGAAGTTGATGTTAAAGCCAAGGAAAGTGATTCAGATGTTGATGTAGCTGTCATTGAAGATGACATCGATCTTGAAGATCTCATGCGTCAGAAGGTAAATATGATCATTGTATGGTTCTTAATGTTGCTCAGTCATGTTATGTGTTAAAAATATTCCTAGCTTTGATCTGTGTTTAAAAAAGTATGCTGAGGAGAATGTTTTCACTTGTATGAAATAATAGGAGGTTTGAGAAATTTGCTTTATAACTTGTACTGCACCCCAGATGTTAAAATGATCTGGTCAGGATAGGATGGGTAGGGAATGTAGAATACATAAGAGAAAAGAGCAATACATGCAGAGTTTTGGGTTGTAAACTTAAATAAAGAAACCGGTAGGAAGTCTGGGATGTAGATAGGAAGTTTATATTAAATTGAATGCTGGAGAAGATTGGGGATGTGAACTAGATTTATGTGGGAAAGGGTAAACCATTTGTGTGCTCTTGTGAACCTGGTAAGGGACCTTCAGGTTCCAGTGCTGGGAATTTCTTCAGTGGTTGAGCAATTGTTGGCTTCTCAAGAAGGTCCATGTAGTCAGTGAAAGAACTGCTCACTTGCATAATGATCATGTATATTACAAGAGAGTAATGAGAGATAGTTTAGGATATTGCCAAAAGATGGCAGGAGTATACTTAGTTACATTGTCAACTGGCTTCCCAGGACACCATAACACAAAGCAGGAACCTGTGATGGTGTACCCTGATGGGAGGCCTTCGCAAGTATTATGCAGCCAGTTAGTGGTTGCTCCCGGCCAGTGCAGAGCTGCTGCTCTGTAAATATGTGCAAACAGGAAGTGCAGAGAGCAAGAAAGATATGTACAGTGACTTTGCTGTTTCTCATTCCACACATCACAGAGTAGTTTTCCTTTCAGCCGTGGGCAGTTATATGTTTGTTGGCCTGTAATTCATATGTTGGGGCTGCTCCAGTAGCAGAAGTATGGTGATTAGATATGTGATACTTGTTTTTTTTTTTTTTTTTTTTTTTTTT